GCTCCGGTCGCCTCGATATTTAGCCGCAAAATGTTGCTGCGAAGTCTTCGATATTTTGCCGAGCCTGGCACAAGAAACTCGATATTTTGCTGCATTTTGCTCCGGAAAAACGTGTATTTTATCCACTTCCCGTACAATCCCGTACAACGTTTCATAAAAATCGCAGGGTCGGTCTCTCAAGACGGGTTTCCGTGCACGTGTCCCTGAGTTCTTCTAAAATCATGTCGATCCACAGTGAGTCCCGGTAATATTTCGGTGACATGGTCTCGTCCTTGGCAGTGTATCCTGCTGAACGGGTAAGAAACAAGGAAATCCAAGTATCAGGCATCGATTTTACCCAACATCTCGATATTTTGCTCCGATTTTGCCGGCAATTTCCACTCTTTCAATCCTTCGATATTTTGCCGAAAGAATTGCCGGCAGGATCTGTCTGGGCCTAGCTCGCAGCACATTCACAGCTCACCTCACTACTGATCCTGTCTCTGCTGAGGTTGTTGTTGCAGAAGCTGGCGTTGCCCGTTTTTGATATTATGGGCATGTGTTTCTGTGGAGAAGGCAGAGAGCCGGAACGCAAACAATATTACTTTATCATTTTGGTCATCTTTTGTATTTTCATGACATGATTGTATCGGTTTATTTATTTCGCCCGTACAAGAGGCTTCGCAATGTTGAAAAAGCCACGTTTGTCGTTTTCGTCGTTTTCGCGCTCCATCTCCTGTGTACAACTTTTTTGTTGTACCTGGTCGTCGTACATAGCATCAGCATTGTTTTTGAAGTTCCCGGTCTTTTCCAGAGCATATGGCACACACTTTGGTACGACAACGTCACGTGCTGGTCGCGTGAAAACGTCATCAATGCAGACCAAAAAGTGTAGTGTTGACTTGTACTGAGATATGCATGAAAGTTTGTACATTGATTTTCACGTAGTGTGGTTGCGGCCTTATAGGCGATTCACACGACAGGCAAATCCACGTTTACAGGAAAGTCACCATGGAGATATTCCTGCGGGTGACCAAAATTTGCCCGCAGGAATCAAAAGTGTCCATGGCCTTTTTTCCCGCGGATGCACTCATCTGCGGGTACTTTTACAGTTATGAGGCTGTGAGGTCGTACGTAAGTACGGTAGTCTTGAACCCTGGTTGTTTGGCCTTTGTCTTTGGGTACTCATTCCAAATCACCACAGTAACGCCGTATACTCACCGGATACTCGCGGGAGCTCTGGCCGCCAACCGCGGCCGTGTGAACTGCAGCCTCACGTTTCACTTCCTGCGGGCACCTGACAAACGTGGATTTGCCTGTCGTGTGAATCACCTATAATAGTCCTTTCACACGACGGGACAAAGTCACGTCTGTTCGGGCTCGCGGGCGGATCGCCAAGTCGATCATCAAATGGGGGGAAATCTGAATCCGTAGACCCGACGGTCTGCCCGCGACACCCTGGCTGTGCGTTTTCGTTTACGATGCCGTGTTTCCTGTACTGGTTTGGCTTGTGTTCGCGATCGCGTCTTCTCACTGAGCGTTTCCTGAACAGCAGCACAGGTCCGACTTTCTGAACAATGGCCACCCGGACATTCAGCCCAGAATCCGAAAGGATGCTTATCGAAATCTACTGCTCCCTACTTGAATCGATCGACTGATAAAATGATGATGACGCGAGCAGCGAAAGAAGACAAAGCAACAAAACGGCTGAACGGCCAAAAGGGATTTGGGAAATCGAACGAGGCACTCCAAGAGAAATCCAGTCAAGAACGCCAAAGCAACAACGTCGTCTTTTCAGTCTTGTTCTACTCCAACATCAGGCAAGGAGAGTTTGAATTTTCCCGGGAGGCATGAAAATAAAAAAATATTTTGATTTATTTCCATCAAAACACGTGCCTCCATTACAATTACCTAGGCAACAGTCAAATAGTGACCGACACACGTGCGCCGTGTCGGCAGAGCTAGTCGTCGTGTGAAGTGTCTTGCCGTGGATCGTAGAACCATGGTATCGTGCAATCGTGAGCACGAATCGTCGTGTGACAAGGCTTGACTGGATTTCTCTTGGAGTGCCTCGTTCGATTTCCCAAATCCTTTTGGCTGTTTAGCCGTTTTGTTGCTTTGTCTTCTTTCGCTGCTCTCGTCATCATCATTTTATCAGTCGATTCTTCCCTCCCCAAGTTCTCACATGTCAGTATCGGTGCTGTTGAACGGCTACTCCAGCAAGTTAATCTCGCGACGGCAACAGGCAGCGATGGCGTACCAGGGGCAGTCCTCAAACTCTGCTCTGACGTCTTGGCGCCGTCTGTCACTAGCCTGTTCTACGCCTCGCTGTGGTGCGGACATGTGCCCTATGCGTTCAAGCTAGCTAATGTCATCCCACTGCATAAATCTGGCGATCCATCGCTGCCAACTAACTTCCGCCCTGTATCCCTTCTACCCATACTCTCCAAGCCGCTAGAGAAGTTGATTCAGAAGGAGCTCATCACCTTCCTGGACATAACAGCATCGTTACCAACAACCCAGTTTTGCGTTCAGGCGTGGCCACTCTACCGAAGACGCATTAGTCCTTATGTCAAACCGCATCCTAACAGCCAAGGACCAGGGCCTATTCACAGGTGTATGCCTGTTAGACATGTCCAAAGCCTTCGATAAAGTCCAACATGACAAGCTATTGCAGGATCTCCACAGTGCTGGGGTGTCCGGTACTACCTTGGACTGTTTCGCCGGCTACCTATCCGGTCGCACTCAACATGTCTGTCTGGGGTCGCGGACTAGCTCTATATCAGCTTGCACGAGTGGTGTCCCCCAAGGTTTGGTGCTGGGCCCCATTCTGTTCAGCCTTTACACCCGCGAGGTCCCCTCTGTAGTTGGAACAGCACGAAAAGCACGGGAGGTATCCGATGTTTTATCTGCTTCGGTTTCAATCCTTGCAGACTGGCTGAAGGATCGAGGCCTGATCCTAAATGCTGGCAAGAGCCAAGTAGTGCCAATTCCTGCTGGCCGTCAGCACACAGCTGATCTACAGGTCGTCTGCCATGCCACTTCACTGCCTAGTGTGCTAAGTGCTCGTTATCTTGGCGCCACAATCGATTCCGGCATGTCCTGGCACGCCCACATTGCCAAATGTGCCGCACGCGTGTCGCAGAAGATCGGATCACTCTGGCGAATGCGTCGCTGCCTGAACCACCAGTCACGCAGGACCTACTTTAGATCACTGATCATGTCTGACCTGCTGTATGCCTCAATCGCGTACTCTAGCTCACTGCAAAGAAGGTACCTCGACCGTCTACAGGTCCTGCAGAACAGTGGGGCTCGTGCTGTCTTTGGCCGCCCTCCGTGGTTGTCTGCCCACGACCTGCTGGAGCGCATTGCAGTGTTCCGTGTGGCAGAAGTCTTCAATCAGAAGCTAGTATACCTGGTGTGGCGCTGTCGTTATGCACCGGCAAGTCCAGAGTTGCAAGCCCTGCTAACTCCCGCTGCACCTGGTACTCGGCTCCAATCTGCAATGGGCCTGTGCGTGCCAGTTTCCCATTTGATTGCGGGGCGGGGGCGCTTTGCTTGCAAGGATGCTGTACTATGGAATGCCCTCTCCAGCGACATCCGTGCCATCCATCACGTGCGGTAGTTTCGCACGCAGGTAATCCCCTATACCTGTGCCCTGTAGATGTTGAAGACAAGCGATAACTTCTGGTTTTTTCTGCTCTCTTTCTGTTGTACCCGATCTCCCTCTGATGTACCGCTGCCTCTACGCTGAAGATCTAAGTATTTGAATTCTCATTCTCATTATAATTTTCATGTTCGCTTTCATGTTATTGGGTTCTATGCCCGTTTGAATTTGCGAATCAAGATAAATACAAACAAACAAACAAACAGATAACTCGTGTATAATGACCACATTATACCGCATGTTTGCAGCGTAATCCCGCATATTTGCCGCATAAGGGCCTGTTTTCGCCCGCATAATTATGCCCACGATTTTAATATTTTGTCCGTGTTATTCTGTGGGGACAGGAGAGAGACAGACAGAGAGACAGAGAGAGACAGAAATATCAAGAGACACAGAGAGACACAGAGAGACACAGAGAGAGGGAGAGAGAGAGAGAGAGAGAGAGAGAGAGAGAGAGAGAGAAAGAGAGAGAGAGATATAGAGAGAGAGGGAGAGAGAGAGAGAGAGAGAGAGAGAGAGAGAGAGAGAGAGAGAGAGAGAGAGAGGAGGGAGAGAGAGAGAAAGAGAGAGAGGAAACTGTGCTGCGACTCCGAGTGTAACGAACACCAGGTTACCCTTGGCTACAAAACAGGCAGTTTTTGTAATATAGCTAGTGTTGAGGCGGCCATCAGATAGACAAGGATAAGATGAACGCCTACAGCAGGATTACAAAAAACTTCAAAAATCTGTACAAGTCATCATAAGGAGAAAGATCGTTTTCAGTACCTCCGGCATGTGCGGTAAAAAGACGACATTGTGTTTGAGGGCACTGGCATCGCAACTGGTGGAGAAGCATAGCGAGCTTGCCTACTCCGTAGTTATGAGTGAGCTTCGGAGCCTCCTGTCGTTTACCCTGCTCCGTTGGGCAATAACAATCAGTCATGCTTCCGCGGTTGCAGGGGTTCATATGGCCGTAGGCGAGACCCCGGCTTCTTGCACCGCTGCCTGTCCAGGTCAGTGGCCTAGACGCTATTAAACGTGTTTAATTGTCTGATTGTTTCTTTGTATGCGTTGCTTGCTTACTTGTAGTTTGTCTCCTGCAACCATGTTTCAACATTGTTAGTGCTTACGTTTGGTGATTTTGTTGCAGCGTGACCGCCAACTGCCATCTTCAAAGATTTGGATTGAGTTTTTTCTTTCTTCAGATTCTTGACGTTTTGTTCATTTTTTTTGTTTTTTTTGTTTTTTTGGTATTGAGATTTTCTGTCATAATATTATGTAAGCAAATTTGCTTTGCCCATACAAGAGGCTTGTGTATGATAAGGAGAAAGATGACAAGTGTACAACTCACCATAACAGAATCTGTACAACTCAC